CTTTGGACATGTTGTAAGGAGAGACCGGTCCTTAGAGAGGGACATCATGCTTGGGAGGGTGGAGGGACAGCGCAGGAGAGGAAGGCCCTCTATGACGTGGACTGATTCAGTGACTGGGATAATTGGGATGGGACTGTCAGAGACAGTGCGATAGGGCTGTTGTATATAGGGTCGCTATGAGTCGCAAGCGACTCGATGGCACATAACAACAACAACAACAACATACTGCACTGAAACAGATGAGGGAGAAAACTGTTGGAAAGGAATATATGATTAGGTATTACGTTCATGACAAGAGTCCAGAGTCATAGGGGAATGGACTTGGGCAGAGGGGAATTGTGGAATTATGAGAATTTGGTGTCTGTTGTTTTTGTTTTATGTTTGTGTTTTTTTTTTTAAACTTTTCAAAGAGAAAAACCAACTGGGGGTAGGGGTGCGCAGGGAGGAAAACTGGCAACAATGAATGAATTTAAGTCTCTATAAACTTTCATTAAGTTTTCAAATTAAAAAAATGACCAAGTAGCCTTTATATTGATTACATTTTTAAAAAATGTTTTTAATTGTGATTTTTAACAAAAGTTAACAGAAAAGTGAAATTTTTTTCATTCATCTTTTCCTCCCCACCCCTCCGCCAAGTTTCCTTTAAAAAAATAAAAGAAAATCATCCACTGTTGCATAGTTTCCTCCCTCCACTACTGATGACATTTTTAACAACTCAAAAAGATTATCCTGGCTATTAAGTTCAAGAATGGAAAATAAAATCCTTCTACTACCAGCAAAGACAATATTAACAATATGTGACAGTGAATTCTCTATTTTTTCCAAATTTCTCTGAAAATACGAAAAAAGATACTACTACAGTGTAATCTACCAACACATCATATAAAAGGTAAGAATTTTGAGATTTCAATAGGAAAGAACTTTGTTTCTAAGGTGAAACAGGACTGGTAGTGTTTAAATAAGGAACTCTGTGTGTACAAAGGCCCACATCTCTGGAAAGAGATCAGAAAAAGCCAGACATTTGGCTGGTTCTCTATCTACATGCTTCTTCCAGGCTCTTGGCTTCCTATGTCTCTTAATTGCGTCTCTCTCAGCATGACCCAGTTGGAAAAGTAGTTCTCTAGTAGATAGGATATTGCTCAGTGGGCCATGTGACTAATGTTTCCCTGGTTAGTCTGGTGTCCCAGCTAGAATCAAAGTACTTACTTTGCCATATAACCTTTCACTACATTGAACTAGAAATCGCCCAATAAACATGTAACAAAAAATAATGGGAATTTACAAAAGTTACATCTCTTTCTCCTTGTGAATTCTGCAGAGGGACAAAAGGTGTACTTCCAGGCCAGCAAAACACATACCTGGTTTTACTGTTACATTCACATAGCCTTCTCCATAGGAATTTTGACCCTTTACAATCACTTTGAATTCATACAGGCCTGGAGTGAGCTAAAGGATGAAAAGACAACCTTTAGACAATCATAAAAGAGCAGCAATTACATTTAAAATAATGCATATATCTGAACTTGACCAGGCTGAATGTCAAGCTCTTCTTATATTATTTCCCAAATGAAAAAAGTAAATTGCCTGAAGAAATGAAGCAATGAATTATAAATGAAAAAACTATAATGTTTAAATGTGAATGCTATTACAATTTGACTCTAGAAAAACAGAAGATATTTCAGTATCTCAATACTCCCATTTTCTTCTCAGAAAAACATTAAGGGTCTAACTATCTCATTTCACTGAGTTAGGAAATTAAAACAATCATCCCTACAAAGAAAAACATTTTGTAAAATTATTAAATAGCTCCCAAATAACTGAATATTTCCCCCTCCAGACTTCTACTAATGGCAAAGAACATAAAAGGAGAAAAACAATAAACTCATCTATAATCCCACTATTATCATACTTTATACATAATACTCCTCTATGTCTTTTCAATCCTTGACCATACACAAAAAATAATTTTAAATACCACATTTTTTCTCTAATATTTATTGAGTGTCAATTTTGTACTCAGTCATTGTCCAAGGCTTGAGGTTTACAGATGAATATGGTATGATTCCTGTCTTTCAGTCATAATTCAATGGTAAACAGGGTTCAACTCACAAAAAGGCCCCAGTCAAACTTTTTATTGTCCTTTCTTCCATTCATTTAACAAATACTTTTCCTTTGTTACTTTTTTAATGGCTTCAGAACAGCAAATGAATAAATATGCCACAATTCACATAGTATTTCACACTGTGAGATACTTGAGCTGTTTCTCAAATTTTCACTATTATAAATCACTGTAATGAATAAATGAAGGGTTTTTGTGCCTTCTGAATTATCTTTGTTGGATAAATAGTAACTGATCTTCTGTAGTATGTGACGTTTTACTATTTTATTCTTGTAATACTGTCAGTTTGCTTTTACATCTCTGTTCACTCATTTCCTTCCATCCCCTGAATAACAGTGTTCTTCTGTATTCTAAACTCAACCCACTTATCATTTCACTTTATACTCTCCTTGGCTCATCTTACCTAGTTTTATGGATTCAATTACCAAACATTTGAAGTTGGTATACAAATTTACCTCTCAAGCTCTAATATGTTCCCTCATCCCAAACTTCCTATCATCAGTTATTAAAAGTATGGACTCTAGAGATGGAGAAAAAAGACAACAAAATATACTACCATCCAGTTGATTCCAACCCTACAGGGTAGAGCACAGCTGCCTTATAACATTTCAAAGTTTGTAAATCTTTATGGAAGCAGCTGTCACATCTTTTTCTTGAAGAGCACTTTAGAGATGAAAATCCCATTCAAATCTGTTTAAAAGCTTTGTGAGTTTTGAAAAACCATTTTTTGTTTTTCTAATTTCTAGTTTTGCCATCTATAAAACAGGTATTAATCTATTTTAGGATGACACAAAAGTTCAAATGTGGAGAACAATGCTGTTAACTGGCATGTGGTATGGGCTCCAGGTTTGTGGTGTTAGCCTAAAGCTGGTTTTTTTTAGTCATTACACTTAACCCTCTCTGGTCTCCAGATACTTTAACTGTAGACACATGGTCCTGCATGATCAACAGCTGGGACTAGGATAAGAGAAAGAATGCTGCTCACACTGAGGAGCTAAATTCGAGGAGAGCTATACCTGAGAAGAGCAGGACTGGAGGGAGACCCTGGTGGCAAGACCCTGGTGATGGTGGTAGAAAAGACTATTATGGCATTGCTGTGGATAAACTGTGGCAAGGTATGACGTGAGGCTTCTTGCATTTGTTCTGGCCATGGTTAAAGCTGTTTGCTTTTCTTGTCAATTGCTTGAAAGAGAAGCTGACTTATAACTGCTCTGAGAGAAATGTTACTGGATGATTTGAATTTGACTGCTATCTGAAACAAGAACCTGGACTAATTGAGGACCTGTGCCTTGGAATTTGGGCTAAAATCTGGACTTCTACTGAGTGCTATTCTTTGCCTCCCCCACTGTCCAATTTACTTCCCTAATAAGCCCCATTCTCAGTACCACAACTATGAGTCTGTGAGTCAACAACGAATACTGTTGGTGTGGTTCTAGAGGCACCAAGGGCTGGGCTCCAGGCTCTTTATCTGCTTCCTGCTCTGGAGTGGTGAGGGACTTTGGTATTTTTCTTACTCCCTCTGGCCCTTTCCGAGAGACGTTCAAGGCTCTATGCCTCCATGTCTCATTTTCTGCTGTTTTTCATTTCTTTAATAAAATTTTTTACTTAGTGATTTTTAACGAAAGTTTACAGGAAAGTTTTATTTTCATTCATTCATTGTTGCACATTTTATACCTCCCTCCCGTCCCCCTCCTCCAGTTCACTTTATTAAAAAAAAAATTCATTCACTGTTGCACAATTACCTCCTCCTGCCACCCCCACCCCCACCCCAGGCCTCTTTGCAATATACCTATTATTCTGGGCTGCTGTCATACATATAATGCCTAATCATATATTCCTTTTAAACAGTTCTTTCTTTCATCTGTTCCAACCCAATGTTTATTATCTAAACTCTCTTATTCTATTCTCCTCTCAACCCCTCATGTCAGACCTGCTTTGTAACAGGGTAACTTTTTAACAGATACTATGCAGTATGTGTCCTTTTCTCATTCTTCAAGGTCTAGTTATGTTGAACCATACTAAAATTCTCTTCTTCCTACATTTATTTCTGGCACAGTACACAGCTTCTTCTGTTTGAAGTGCCTTTTTTCTACCTTTCACTCACACACCCTTTAGGACTCAGGTAAACAAAGTAATACTTTAATTTCCTAGGGCTTCCATAACTCCCTGCACTGATCAAGACTATCTTCTGTGATAATTACTTCCTGTCAGTATCATCTACTAGATTCTACTGTCTTGGAATATTAAGATTATGATTAAGATTGAAAAATCTCCAGTGCCTGCAACGTAATCAGAGTACAATGTATAGTTGCTTAATGAATGAGTAAGATTGCTGGAGAGGGGGAACAAACCCAACTATTTTTATGGCTTTTAATAACCATACTGAATCCTTAAAAAGACTGAGTCAATGTACACAGTCATGTGGCCCCATGTTTTTCTCCCAAATTCTAAAATCCTTATGTTACCCTTAAAAGCTGTTTAGTATATATTTTCAGCTATCACCACCATGCTGGAACAGTCTTCTCACCACAAATGAAAATTTGAGAATCATACACGAACAAATATTGGATGTCAGCCAGTCAGATTTTTGAAGGATTCATTTCAGAAGGGCTGTTGAGACTTACAAGTAAGTATGGACAGAAAATTCCATGATAATATACATTTTAGAAATGTGGCCAATAACTCAAAATCAGACCTGTAAGAAAAGAGGCAGATTCACCTTGGATAATTTGAGGATCTGGTACTGCTGCCCTTCCATTTCTCCACTGTAGTCTTTAGGATGAGTAATCAGCTGCCAGTCGTAGGTGTAGGTTTCTCCTAAAGAAGGGCAGTTACAAAATTCATGAAAACACACACCCACACACAAAAAGGGCAGGCACAAAGCCTGACAATCACAAATCACTTCTAAATTTTAACAATGTTTTAGTTATAAGATTTCACCCTACAGCTTGTAGGGAACCAATTCATTTGCTGGGGGGGGAGAACAGGGTAGATACTGCTGATTCAGAAACATCTAGGGCTTCCTCCATTCTTTCCCAGCAGTATTCACTCCTGCCCCATAGCTAGCCTCTTCAGGGCCAATCCACCCTAAAAAATAACAGACTGCTCATGATCTGGCCTCTCAGCAAAAATATATGCCCACCAACCACTAAAGATGAACTCACAGGGAACAAAGGCCACTTTCTGGCAAAACTTCTTTTGCAACAAAGAACAGCAATGACTTCTAAATAACATGGTTCAAAAATAGCTTTTTCCAGAGTGCTAACAATGCTTGTCTCACTGAGGTCATCACACCCTGGTGAGTTAAAAGAGCTACTTCATTCCTGCTGAGCAAAATAACATACTGCAGAAATGGAAGGGAATGGCCCATTTAAAATAGGCCCCACTGAAATTAATTAAGATCAGATGAAGCATTAAATGGTCTTCATTTGGACCTCAGACTTTATCGGTGGGTAGGTTGCTGTTATGTTGTTAGGTGCCATCTATTTAGTTTCAATTCATAGTAACTGTATGTACAAAGAATGAACGAAACACTGCCCAGTGCTGTGCTATCCTCAATCAATGCTCTTTGAAACCAATATTACAGCCACTGTGTCAATTCATTTTATCCAAAGGTTTCTTTTTAGTTGACCCTCCTCTTTACCAAGCATGATTGTCCTACTCTACATGAATTGGTTCCTTCTATGCAAAATTATGTAAGATGAGGGCTCACCACCTTCCTTTCTAAGGAATATTCAAGGTGTACTTCTATCAAGATAGTCCAAGGTATATACAATATTCTTTGCCACAATCATAATTCAAAGGCATCATTCCCCCCTCCCCAGTTTTTCTTATGCAGTCTCTGAGTTTTATATGCATTTATAAGGCAATTGCCATCACAGGAAAATCTTAGTCCTCAAAGTGACAGCTTTGCTTTTTCACAACTTATAGATGCCTTTTGCAGCAGATTTGTCCATTGTAATATTCCATTTGATTTCCTGACTGCTGGTTCCAAGGGTGTGAATTGTTGGTCCAAGTAAAAAGGAGTTTGAGAACTTCAATATTTTATCTTGATGTTGTGTGTTGGTACAGTTGTGAGAAGTTTTATTTACATTTCGTGTAATCAGTATTGAAGGCTAGGACCATTGATTTTCATCAGTAAGAGCTTCAAGTCCTCTTCACTCTCAACAAGCAAGATTGTGTTGCCAGCATATTATCACAGATTGTTAATGAATCTTCTTTCAATCCTAATACCATGTTCTTCATATAATTCAGCTTCTCAGATTATTTGCTCAGCATACAGAGCAAGTATGGTGAAAGGACACAACCCTGACACATATCTTTCCTAATTTTATACCACACAGTATCCTCTTATTCTGTTCCAATTGCCATTTAGTCTATGTACAGACTGTACAAGAGCACAATTAAGTGTTCTGAAACTCCCATCCTTTCTCTGTGTTATCTACAACTGATTATGACCCACACAGTTGAATGCCTTTACACTGCCAATAAAACACGAGTATACCAACATCTATTTCTGGTATGTTTTGCCTTCAGTGAAGATCTGGAATCAGCAATATTTCTTTTAAAACAACAACTTTATTTTGGTTTGCATATACAAAGTTCATACATATTTTGTTTCACACAATCATTCCCATTCATTATGTTTTATAAAATTAATCACCAATGAACTATGCCGACCATCACCCTGTCTTTCCAGATCCCCACCAAATCGTTCCCATTTCTTTTACCCCTCCCCCTCCAGCAGTATTTCTTGTTTTACATCATCTTCTGCCAGAAATTCAAGCAGCACTCAAAAGAGGGCAGTAGGCAAGACAAGGATAGAATCATGTTTTAAAAAATCCCTCTCCAGTAAAAATGGTATGAAAATTGTTTTGGAGCAAATGCGAGCTGGTAAGGGGGGAAAGTGGTATTTGTTATGAATAGTTAGTTTAAATTACTACATAATAGTTAAAAAGAAAAGGCAAAAGAGCTGTCATTTCTTTTTCTTAGTTCATGAGTTCAAATATTAAAGTCAGCACACATAACTGAATTCCAAGAGATCCTCCTTCTTCAGAATAGATTTTATTTCAGAAATCTGATACAAAATCTACTATGCCTTTCCTATCAAATACTAGTTTTGTTTTGGCCAGCTGCCAGTCCTAGGGAGCTCTCACAAATTTATATGTAGAAATTATGTTAGGTAAAAAGCAGGAAAGAAGAAGCAGAAATGTAAAACTTAAGCTAAAATATGGCATTGCTTCTAAATGGAGTTGGAAATTTTTCTCTGTACAGAAAGAAGATTTACCTTAGTTTGGGAATTTCTAATCTTACAATGTCTTAAGTTAGCAAAACAAATTTCTTAAAAGGAAAAAATTCCTAGGTCAGAAAAGCTCAGGGGATAATTTGTGCCATATAGCCAGAAATTTGCCCAAGGGGAAGACCAACTGAGCATAGGTTTGTTAGAATGCTGGCTTAATAATGTAGGGTAGTGGTTTTCAAACTGAGTATCTGAACACTGGAGGGATCCTTCAAGGTGCTTCAGGGTTGCCACAGGGGATGAGGAGGGAGACAGGAAGGCAGTGTTGGTCCTGCCTCATCCTCCCAACCTTTGAAAAGTTTAAAACTATTCATCTCATGTATCTGATAAACAAAGGAGAACCTGGGGGACGAAGGCTGAAGAGACTGTTTATGAACTTACGTGTTTTGGGATATTGATTGACAAGACAATAGTAACTCACAAAAGTGTATATACAAATAGAAGTCAGAAAAAAAAATACAGAAGAGCCAAGCCAATCAATTACAAAAGAAAGTAATTACAGTTCAGGTAGTCTCAAATAACATCTCTCCAAGAAGTATTCTACCTCTGTTGTTTACTATGAGTTTTAACAGGAGAAGCAGATTAACTTGAGACTCTGTTTCTTCTCTTTAAAATGATTAGCATTCAACCTAATAGATTAAAATCTACATTTAATGAGCATCAGCTACAAGTTAGACACTGAAATGGGTGCTTTGGTGATCTCATTTCTTCTTAAAAGAACTTAATGAGGTAGGAATTATTATCCCCGGTTTAGAAAAAAAAAAAGAAACAGAAGCTCAGAGAAGTTAATTTGCTTTAAATCACATAAATTATAACCAGCTGAACTGAGATTGGACATAAGGCTTGATTGAAGTATATGATCTCAATTACTCTACTGCCACTCTTACACTTGTGCAGGTACATGCTAAAATTCTATTCTCACAGGACTACTATAAGGACTAAATAAGATTAGGTATTTGGATGCCATTATAAATTAAAGCATTACCCAGATGTAAGAGATTTTTACCTTGGCTTGGTTGTGGGAGAACATACGCATTTAACTGAACTTCATTTTTAGGCAGAGTCATTTGCACACTCTCTCCAGCAGACACAATCAATTCTTTTACAACTGGAAACAAAGTAAACACACAAAAAGGTAAGAAATTAAATCTAGAATGTTCCATTATTCTTCTTTCTTTTGCAAACTCCTATTGTTTTGATTTTCTCATTACTTTGGACATTTTGAACCAGATAATAATACTTTGTTTTAAGGGGTTATTCTATATACTGTTAAGTATTTAGCAGCATCCCTCAATTTCACTCACTACAATCTGGAACACTTAAAACCACTACTAGTTTTATCAAGCAAAAATGTGTGCATACATTGATAAATGTCCACTGGAGTGTAACAATCACACACACACATACGCACACCTCTACCTTCTTTTCATACTACATAAAGCTTATTTGGTTATTTGGTAGGAGACTTCTTGTTTTTATGTACCTTGAACTAACAGAACCAACTTATAGCTGATCCTCTAGTGGGTTTCTAGAGGCAGTTAATAGCGTGAAAGGAGACTACCCATCTTTTTTGTGTGGAGCAGATGGCAGATTTGAACCATATGCCTTTGGGGTGTCAGTGAAACTCTTTACCACTAAGCCACCAGAGCTCTCTAAGAGAACTAGGAGAGTTTAAAGCAAACAGTTGGCTAATGCTCTTAATCTCATGACCAAGGGGTAAGAAAGACTTCCTATATAAATATGAGACCCCAAACTCATTTATCTCAGCTTGGGAACACTGCACTTGGAAAGAAATGAAACTAGCCTTTATGAAATCTTCAGAGCACAGAAAAACTCTCTAAAATTATTTCCAAAAAAGAAACTGTTAAACTCAGAAGAACCTAGAATAGATCGAAAAATGGCTATTCAACACAATGCAATGCAAGCCCTTCACAATGACAAAGTTACAGGCATTCTATGGGAACACAGAAACTACTCTGGTGCCTCGTGATTGAACCCCTAAAATTTCATATTCCAACAAAAGAAACCCTGGGAAATAAAAGGATTGGCAAAAATCTACTTTCACTGTTTTTCTATACTCCCTTGATTCTTTCACAGATTAAAGATCAACTTGTTGCTGTTGTTGTTAGGTGTCATTTACTTAAACTGTGACCCTATGAACAACAGATGTGAACTCTGATCTATCTTGAGTCATCTGCCTGTTCAAGCCCAATACTGCAATCATTGTGCCAAGCCAACTTGTTGAGGATGTTCCTCTCTTCCTCTGACCTTCTACATTTCCCAACATGATGCCTTTTACCAAGGAGTGGCCCCTGTCAAAAATATGCCCCAAATATGTTAGATAAGAAAGTTTCACCAGCTAAGAAGCACCCCTTGTTGCCTCAATTAACCATTTTCTTCTAATACCTTAGAACAGTGCCCACAAAACACAGGATTAAAAACAAAGATACTATCTAAATCACATAGGGACAAATATATGATTTAAACTAGCCTTTTTTGTAAGGTAAATAGGTATATGGACCCAGCTCTTTCTTTCCAGTAACTGCTTGATTCTTCAAATATTTTTCTTTTTAAATTTTATTCTTTTTTTGAGTGTTTGTACCATCAAATCAATCTCACTGGTACAGGAGGAGATTGTCCCTCCTTCTCCAGCTGAGCATCTGGTGGATTCTAACCAGACACCTCTAGGATTGCAGTACAGCTTCTTGCCACTAGGTCACCAGAGCTTACCTTCTTCAAATATTTTTAATGAAATCTTGTGCTTTTAAGTTTCAGTTACAGGGAAGCCTGGCTTTGGGAAAATGAGCTTCCCAAATTTCTATAGGCTGGGGGGTGAAGGGGGTGCAGCCAGAGCCAGATTGCTGAAAAAGCGATGGAGCCCAAAGTCTTATAATTATGTGCACATACGTTGTTTTGGGTTTTAACCTCCTGTATTCAAAATGATGCCTCCCCGTTCCTTCTGTCCTCTAGAATAAAACAGTGATCAAATGTTCTACCTTGGGCAAGAGCACAGGGCCTTACCTGGGTATGGTGCTGAAGTGCTCAGGAAAGAAGCCTGGGGGGCAGGGGTAGCATAAGTATAGAAGGGAGCCACAGGCACAGGAGTAGAAATCTGGATTTTCCCAGTACTTTTTACTTGCTGAGTGCTGGATGCAGTAACAGGATCCTTTGAAATCTCAAGCTGGACTGATACATTCTTTGGCAAATCAGGAATCTCTGCAGTCAGGTTCATAGATAACGGACTGGAAGTTGTAACTGCCTGATGGGCCTAAAGAAATGGTGGGGAGGGGGGAAGTCATTGAAGTTGGCAAAAAGTTATACAGTGAGTTTTACAAAGTTATGTATCATGAAATAAATGCACTTTCAAATTTTTCTGAGAAGTGCTCAGGTCTCATAGATAGAAGAAAAAAAAATGTGGAATAGGACTCCAAATTTCCAAAACAAAAACCATACTTACTGGACCAGGTGAAACTGGAGAACTCCCTAGACTACTGCTTTAAGTATACCTTAAAAATATCTCTCTTAATGCTACTGAATTAATTCTGACTCTCAGCTGACTCTCCAACAGATTTACAAGGCAGTACATCGCAGAGTGGATTCAGACTGCTAGAGAAGCAGAAAGGAGCTCTGGTGGCTGAGTGGAAAGAAGCTGCACCATCAAGCTAAAGGTATGTGGTTCAAATCCACCATACTGCATCTGAAAACCAGCTGTAAGTCTGTTGCAACTCAGCAGTACATAACAACAGCAGAGAAGCACAGCCTTTAGCAGCACAACTCTCTAAGGACTATGCCACCAGAGATGTCTAAAATAAATGGCACCTCTTTAAATTATACAGGTCACTTCCAGGTAAAATGACAGAGGAGGCAAATGGCAGCCCAGGCACACTTAAACCAAGATACGAGAAAATCAAGTAAGCAGATATAGATAATTAATTCTGGAACCTTCACTTTAAAATGAAAAGACCTAGTTCAAATACGGACTAAAGGAAGAAACTGAATGTAAACAACAAATGAGATAGGAGACAGAAACAAAGAAATGTAAACAGTGTGGCAGGCCATTCTGAACACTTTCAGGTACAGGAGGAACCTGGGACTGCAGATGTGTCCACACCAGCAGTTGGCTGCTAACAGAGGTAGGCTCTCCCCTCTGTTCCTTATAATTCAGAAGATCAGGAGAGCTCTCGCCCACCTCTATTCATCAAGTGGTTGGCAGTAGTCCTTGGCAAAGTCCCAGCTCCCTCTGAGGCCTGGCCTATGTTATCTTATATCTGGCACTAGGAGCATGCTCATATAGCTCTACAATCAGAGGTGGACCCCCAAGAGCCTGAGGACATGACTGGCCTGTAGCCAGACTCTGGATTGGAGAAAGCACCACCTCTGTTTGAGGTCCGTGCCTCTCAAAGGGCATCCTTGTGAATATCACCTCTAACGTATGTCAGGGTCACATTTGAAGCAATATACTTTTTATGGAAAGTGCAATCCTTGGGCATGTCAGGTTGGCAGTGACTGTTCATGCTGTCTCTTACTAGGTACCCAGTGGGCATTCATTCCCGGGTCTGGCTAAGACACCATCTCTAACCAGGTGCATTATCCTAGGCTTCTTTGACGCCAGTAGAAACTCCACCCCCCCCAGCCCAGCTGGGTGTCCTGTTTCTTCATACCCTCTAGATGAGAACAGATGCTGTGTCCCGGCTCACATCCTGAGGCTCCAGTGTCCTCTCAAATAAGCAGAAACTCTTAACTGACTGGGCACCCAAATATCCACCTTCTGCTGGACTGGGAGACACATCATCCCAGACTTGGCATCTCACTTCCACTCATCACAGTGTTGTGACGTGCCAATCAAGTACCCATACCAACTTCCTCCAAGGTCACCCCCCCTTGTTTTTTTTTTATGTTCAATTTGTTTTCAGGGTGGTTTTTGTTTGTTTATTTGAATTCATGCATTGTTGCACATTTTCTTCCCTCCCCTTTCCTTCTTCCCCTCCTAATCCACTTTGCAATGCACCTCTTATTCCAGACTGTTGGCACATAAAATACCTAATCATATATATTCCTTTCAGACAGTTCTGCCTCTCATCTGTTCCAATGCAGTTTTCATTATCTATACACTACTATTTTCCCCATAACTCCCTCATGTCAGTCTAATAACAGTGGTGTTATGCAGTATTTTTCCTTTTGTGACTGAGATATTTCACTCAGCACAATGTTTTCCAGGCTCACTAGTGTCGTATGTTTTACAAGTTCATTGTTTTTCACTACTGTATAATATGCCTTTGTGTGAATGGACCATGGTTTTTGTAGCCATCTGTTTGTTGATGGGCAGGCACTTGGGTGGTTTTGAGGTTTTTGTTTGTTGATTTTATTATTGTGAGTTTTTTTCTTTTATTCTGTCTTTTAGGGGTTTTTTGTTTCCTTTGTCACTCTTCTCTCTTCTAATGCTTCTTTTTTGCCTTTGTATTCTGATTTTTTTTCCTTTATACTACTCTCAATTTTGGTTGCTCTTTACTATGCAATCTTCTTTTGGGTGTTTTTTTCTTGTTTATTTCTTTTTCTTTGTCTTACATGGCAACAGATAGAAACATTGTCTAGTTTCATCCATCAGACAACAGTTAAAACTAATTCCTGTTCTATCTCATAAACAAAGGATTGCAACCACCATATATTCCAGGCTGTCATCAATTGCTCTATGTGAATAAAGAAGTAAGAACGGCACAGACACTTCCATCTTCTATCACACTCACCAGAAGACATGAGATGAAACATTAAGAGCTAGCAAGCTAGTGAGCTGCACAGCACACACATATGACCCCATAATTTATATCAAAACAAAATAACACAAAAATCACAATCTCACAGTTCTGGAGGCAACAGGTAACTTTAAACCAGTTTTTAAAAAAGCAAAACAAAGCTACAAAGAGGATAAGATGATGCAAGCATGTAGACCAAAATCTACAACAACAAAAGATCTTTAAGATATACTACAGAACTTTTTTGGTAAGGAACTTAAGGAATGATAGATCATACCTCCAACAGATTCAGAAAAGAAACTTTTAAGAAAAACAAAGAAAATGT